CCTAAACCCAAAACCCAAAACCCTTGGGGAGGACCTCGAGCCTCCTAAGGTGCCCCCTAGAATAATTAGATTAGGGCTTTGGGCGTCTTTAGGGTTTAGGGTTTAGGGTTTAGGGTTTAAGGTTTAGGGTTTAGGGTTTAGGGTTTAGGGTATAGTTATCATAAAGAACCTCCAGGAATATTATCGGCAATTATAGAGGCTTCTATACTAGACATGATTTCCGGCTGTGCCTGCCAGCTGTCCATCTGGACTGCCAAACAGCCAACAAATAAGGGTTGTTAAATGAGGGTTTAGGGTTCAGGGTTCAGGGTTTAGGGTTTAGGGCAACCAAAACCAACCAACCAAAACCTTAAACCTATGATGCATCTTCCCTCGTAGGAGACTCAGATGTTCTCGAGCTAAAAAAGTAAGCGCTCGGCTACTGCAGCGTGGACGAGGCAAAGTAAAGTCTAAGCAAACGTTCCCCTCAACCTTAAACCCACAACCCTAAACAATTGAGAATTAAGGTACTCCACCCTACACCCTAAACCCTAAACCCTACATCCTATACCCTAAACTCTAAACCCTAAAGCTCAAAGGTCGGCTATCGGAGAACTACGACACACCGAGACCCCGAAAGTCCTTCAATCAAGCAATACTCGTCACGATATGGTTTAGGGGTTTAGGGTTTAGGGTTTAGGGCTTCGGGCTTAGGGCTTAGGGTTAAGGGTTTAGGGTATCCTACCCAGGCATCCTTCGTCAGGAACCTTTACTTAAGGTTTCTGCGAGTCTGTGTGTACTAAAAACCCTATGTAAGCCTCTAAGAACTCATATTTTAAGGGTTTCTGGGCTGCTATATGAGGCTTTTGGGCTAGTTTGAGCCTTACAAAGAAGTACACACAAACTCCAACACAGACACTGCAAACACGCCTCTATAAACGCTACAAAGACTCTATGAAGGAGCGATATACTGCAGGCGCTGCAACCTTAACTGTTAGAGGACACTTTTGGGGTATAGTGAACTGTAGATATACTCGGGAACCCTCAAGTACTAATGTTACGGCTTGTCAGGCATCTACTAGCTACTATACCCCTTATAGATGAAACCGAATAGATCCCTGACAGGAACCTGTATAGATCCTTGTCTGAACCCTAAACCCACACCCTAAAAGAGACCCTTGTAGGACCCGGCCTGCAACAGCACTTGCCGATCACGTTCGCTACGGATCTGGAAGCTGAAGCCCTGAGGAGCAGTTCGCATCTGTGCAGGGACCCGGGCTGGCAGCAGGTATTCTTAGTATACATACATTCAGAAAGCCATGCATCCATACATCCATCTATCCACCCATGCATCAGTCCGTGCATACATAGGTATATACATACATACATACATACATACATACATACATACATACATACATACATACATACGGTTGCATACACGACAACATATAATACATGACAAACCTCCTGTGTGTATGTATACATAACATGCATACACATATGTGAACATCATAAACATATGTGCATGGGAGCAGCGAAGTGCATGCAATGTAAGCCGAGAAGCAACACTGTTGCAGAGAAGACATGAATGCCACAAAAAAACAAACGCAAGCAAAGAAGCGAACAGCCCACAGAGAGGTGAAGGACTCCGAGAAAAGAGAGGTTTAGGGTTTAGGGTTTAGGGTTTAGGGTTTGGGGTTTGGGTCTCGTAGAAATGCTTAATTTTGACTGTTCCAGAACCCCTAAATCCTAAAACCTAAACCTTAAGCTGCTATACTGTAGCTCTTGCGGTCTGGATAAAACCCTCAACCCGAATAGAAGGACCCTATTTGGGTTTAGCCTATATTACTCCAAGAGCCCGCTCCGGTATAGGCAAGTAGCTAAGCACTTGCATTAACCCCTCAACCATAAACCCCAAAACCCTAAATCTTAAACCCAAGGGTCCAAAGGACTAATAAGATACTTTGGTTTCGGATGGTAGTTGCAGGTAGCTATGCAGGTTAATATTGAGGGTCTAATGCAAGTGCTTAGCTACTTGCTCCCTCAAAGGAACCCTTAGAGGAACCCTT